GCTCGAGGAGGGGGATCTGGCCGACAGATTGAGAGCAGCTTGTTAGAAAGAAAGAGGAACAATGAGGCCACAGCCCCTCTTCTATCTTCTGTTTTTTCTTTCCCTCCCTTCTCCTCGTCTCCACTCGTTCTCCTCTTTTCTTTCTCCCTCCTCTTTTCTCTCCTCTTTACATCCCCTCCTACGTTCTCCACCTCCTCTTTGTGTATTTCCAGAAATAGTCTCATCCATCTTTTCTGTCTCTCTCTACTTTCCATCTGTCTTATCGTTCCCTCCCTCCTCTCCACCTCTTCCCTCACTATTTGATTTCCTCCCCTCAGATAATGTTTCACCTCCTGGCCCACCTTTCTCGCTCTTTTTCTCTGCACACACTTCATGGTTTTTGCTCGGTATCTTTTCTACACACCTGGCTTTCTGTGTTTTTTTGGAGTGGAGCAGCGGTTTAATTAGTTGGATGTCAATAACGAGCGACAGACGATGTTGAGGTGCCGGACATGAGGACTGGAGAGGTTGTCGTCGTGGTTTTTTAACTGAATCAGAGTTTGGCTGAATCCTGCTGGTGCTGAACGCAGCTCGTTGGTGGTTTTGTGGAGCTGGGATGGGGGGCAGCTCGTCGTTGGGACTCGCTGTGTTGAGCTGTGATAAACCGACTCTTATCAGCGGATGTGAGTCGGGTCATTTTGAACTCCGTATCATTTTAACGTGGTGTCATTATGTCCGGCTCAGTATGGATTCACAACTTTAACACTTTAATAGACCTTTAATCGGACATTTAAGGATCTTTTTAGCGAGTTTTTAAGACAAACTTTGTGGAGCAGAACGTCTCATATGAGGACAAAATGTAACTTTAGCTTCATGTGCATGAAGAAGAAGTGAGTGCAGCGCTGTGGTATATGAACTAAAAGTTAAATTACTTCAAAATGCGTCACCTCTCAACACCAGCATGACTTCCAATTAACAATCACAAATAAATACAAGTGAGTGTATCAGAAGTACACCTGAGATCACTGACACATAACTCAGAAAACTTATGATCACTGAAGCAGAACTGAGTACACCTGCTGTTTCCAGTTTGTCTGATTGCAACAGAACGGTTCTAGGATGAGCTGTGATCATCAGAACGATCTCAGTTTTGGACTTCTGGATCTGCATGTCTGCATCATGGCTCCACCAGAGGACGTTAAAATCTGAGACGTTACAACGCTGAAGAAGGACACAGGAAGATCAGCGACCAGGAGGTCAGGAGGCCCAGAACGAGCCACGGTGCCACTAATCAGAGCTGCAGTGGTCGTCCCTCTAAGATGAAGCCACAGACGAGGCTCTGCTGCCACCATCCAGCTCTGAAACACAGAAACAGCTGCTTCAGGCTCTGCACAGGGTCCTGGATGACATGAGGAGGTTCGGTGACAGCTCAGACAGCGAAGGACGCTTCATACCATCCACCTCTACAGAGAAAACACACATCTAGCCGGTAGAACTAAAATTAAACTTTGTTTAAAAAACATACGAGAAGAGGCCTGATGAATGCTGGTTTTGGTCCAGTGAGGCCATGAGGCGCCCCAGTAGCTCACCTAGCGGAGCAGGCGACCCATGAACGGGGCCTGTAGTCCTCGATGCAGCGGTCGTGGGTTCGACTCCCGCTCAGGTCTCTCCCTGTTCTTCTCCGCCCTTCCCTGTCTCTCTCTGCTGCTCTAAATAAAGGCAAAAAGCCCAAAACATATTTTAAATTAGGCCAACAAGATAAATCAGCTCAGCTCAGCTCAGGGTTCAGTGTGTTTGCCGTGAGCCCGACCACCACAGTGAGCACATAGTCCTGACAGTGAGGCCCGGATGGAGGGGGACCACGTGGGCCTGCATGAGTGCAACGAGGTGTTGGGGAGGCGACAGTTACAGGTGACACCATGACGGTCTGCAAATAAACCACAATACTGGCTGACGAGACGACTCACGGTCTGCAGAGGTTTGGCAGAAAAAGAATATTCCAGCACAACAACGATCCAGAGCCCGCTGCCAGAATCACACAAAAGGTTCTGAAGAAGAAATGTAAAACTATGACCTGAGCAAGTATGCTGCCTGACTTGAATCCAGCAGAACACCTTCAGGGCGTTTGAAAGTGGAAGGTGGAGCCGTGCAGCCCCTTCAGCAAAAAGCAGTTGAAAAAATTGTCTTTGAAAACGGGCCGAGCGTCTCTGCAGAGCTGAACGCAGCACTTTGATCCTCCGGGCCGAGGACAGAGTAAAAATAAAGGTGGACATGTGAAGCATCGAGAAAATAAAAGACTTGAATCTTGGTAATTGAAGGTGTGCTGACTTTGGTTGCAGGTGTTTTTAACAGAATAAATCCAGAATGTTTTAATTGTAGATGAGACGTCCTGCTCAGCGTGATGCTGTTAATGTACGGGTTGGAACACATTTACATGTCAGTGATATTACACCATTACATACTGTATCTGCAAGCAGGAACAAATTGCGGAGCTGTTTCTTGTATTTATTCCACATTGCACGAGGAAGTGGAGCACATTATCAGAAATCCCCAGGCAGCCAGACGAAGAGCAGCCGAGCTACATGACGACCAGTTAAGAATGCATATAAGAGAAAGATGAGTAGCACTCCTCCCTCCACCACCACCCTGCTAGCAGGAAACACTGCTGCAGGGCAAACTCAGTGTGTGTGGCACTGCTTGGCAAGTTGTATCTGCATCTGCTGGATTTTAAGAAAAGAGCAGATGGATTGTAGCAGGGTCCACTCCACACAAAGCCTCACACACAACTCTTCTTACTCATTCTACAGATCTGCACAGAAACCTCCTTTTGTCTGTGTTTAGAGGAATTCAGCATTACAAGCACCCTGAATGTGAAATAGTCAACATCCTCCGTTATAGAGGATTCTGACTGCATCTACTAACTAACTTCAGTCATTATAACACTTTGACGTCACTCTGAATCCAGCCGTGTCCTCCCAGTGCCACTTTCCTCTTTCTCCACTGACTCTACAGAAGTACGTGATTCATTGATGAGTTTTGGAATCCAGCCTCAGAGACTCTTATTAAAAGTGCGTTCTGTTGAGAACATCCTATAACTTTAGCTTCACTTACCGGACCGTCGTGAGGCTGCTGAACCGGCCTGTCTGCTGCTGCACTCTGTTAGTTTGACAGAGAGCCGAGCAGACAGACAGACGGCCGGCCCGACCGCCCTCCCAGGCCTGCTCTCAGCCCCCTTTTGTCTGCCTGTCCTGCAGCATTACCCCTATGGTTGTGGTCTCCTAATTGCTCTGGAACCTGCAGAGAACAGAGACTATGCAGAGGGGCTGGGAGGGTCTTCAGCCACCCTGGGTCCCCGTTCCTCCCCCAGGCCTCCCTCCCACTGCGCTCCGTCTCTCCTTTATTTCATTCTTCTACTCAGACTCGCAATTAAACAAAGTGTGCTCATTTGGCTCAGAAGCTCTCGTACCTCTCCGCCCTCCCCATCCAAGTTCTGCTGACCCGTTCACATCTGGCTCTGCTGGCACTGACAGTATCCGTATAATAGGCGGGCATGCACGGGTATGATGCTAATGTGCATCTTTTTTTTGTTCCTTAGTTTGAAAACACACTTTTGAAATTAGTCAGTTTAAACAGAAATGCCGTCGACCGTGAGTCCCAAGTTTCTGACACGATGTTCAGATCAGAGGCTGCTTTTTGCAGCCGTCCTGCTCTGGTAAACGTCTGTTCTCATTTAAATCCCTAAATCAGACATTTCCTCCTTTTTCAGGCACCTCTGCAACCTCCCCCGGGGTCCTCCGCCTCGGTGGTGGCAGCGGCGGCGGCAGCGGCAGCGGCAGCTTCGGGGACGCCCCAGTCGCTGAAACTAACCTACCCAGAAACTCTGGACCGCATCAAGGAGGAGTTTCAGTTCCTGCAGACCCAGTACCACAGGTGTGTGTGTGGGAGGTTCTGGTGGGTTCTTGTGGTGTGTGTGCTGGTGTTTCCCCTCCACTGTCTCTCTCTGACTGGATTCTAACATGCAGACGGCTGCAGCGCCGCTCCAGCTGCAGGCAGGCGGGTCGATGGAGGGAAATGCAGAAATGGCTGCTTGGGTATAAGTTACCAGAAACACCGTGCTGTGGTTTCTGATGCTGGAGGCAGGAATGATGAAAACTTATCAGAATGACGATCTTTCTATCATCTGTCTGCACTTGCATGTTTTTTTTATTCATCCACACATTATGTTACTTGCATGACTTTGTGTTAATGTGTCGAGGCAGGTTGGACTCGGTGCTGTTTCTCGCCCTCTCCTGCCCTCTTGTCACACACATGCACTCGATCGCTGACTGAGATAATGCGAGATAATGCAATGTGATGTTTTGATATCTGCTCTGTGTGCGTGGCTGTACGGGGTGCTTGATGTGCAGGAATGTGCCCAGAATGCCTTTGAATGTGGGATTTGGGCCGGCTGTGCAGTCCCAGCCTTCTCCCTCTCTGTTCTCTTGGCACACCTTCACAGGGTCCCCCCCGCCCCCCCAGCCCCCACCCCCCTCATCCTGCTTTGATTTAGTTGGCCAGAATCTCCCCCCTCCTCCCTTTCTGTCCCACTTCAAACTTCTTTTGTACGCCCGGCCCGGTCCACAGCCCCTCTCACCCCTGCGGCTACTGTTGCCCCGTTCACACAAACGCCTGTGAGTGTGTCCTTACTTCTCTGGCCGTCCAGCTCGCTGCGAGCTCACAAGTCACAATGCAGCACACCAAGAACCTCGGCTTGTGGCATCACACATACACCGAAAAACTACTTCATCCATTCACTCTACGGCCTGTATTGACCTTGACATGTGTGACTGGTTGGGCGTGTGTCTGCTGGTCTGACTGGTTAGACGTCGGTTGCAGCTGTTTTCAGTTCAGACGGATTTATTGAAACTTCCAGTAAATTTCAGGCAGTGAGAGGTTCATAATTTGATAATTTGGCTCGACGAGCGCGGTGTTTCAACCACAAGTTGTCAACGTGGTCGGAGGATTTGTGCTCAAGATGTCGTCATTTTAGAACGAAAGATGTGTGGAGGGGTTTGTTCATCTAAGAACCTGCCAAAAAATATACATGGATGGTTGTCTGGATCAGCGGTCCCCAACCACTGGGCCGTGGACCGGTACCGGGCCGCGGGTCCTTTGGTAGCAATAAAAATGTTTTGTTGGTTTATTTTTATTTCCAGCGGGGTCTGCAGGGTGTTTCATTTTGAAAGATGACCAGCTCGTCTTCCCGTCACCTAACGAAGCCGTCGGTCTAAATTAATAAAAAACAAAGGTCTGAGGAGAGCTTCTGTGAGAAGTGGGAGAGACTCGATACCGATACAGAAGAAAAAACAAACACATATTTAGCCAGTAACTCTATTCGTTTATGAAACTTTTAAATAGAAAAAGCTATAATTTTTGTGCGATGACCGATCCATAGAAAATGTTCTTGCTTCAGACCGGTCTGTGGTTCCAGATAGGTTGAAGACCGCCGGCGTACCGATGTCAGAACGGTATCGCAATACCCTGCCGATAAAAATGGAACTGAACCGGGTTTCATCAGAATAACAGCAGCTGTGAGTTGCATCACTTTGCGATAGCGCGACGCTACGTGTTCTGCTTCCTCTCTGTTCAGGCTTTGTGAGCATCCCAGCGGCCTTCCTCCTCTCATAGTCCGACTGCTGCTTTAATGGGGACCAAACAAAAAGAGTCCTTGCTGTAAATACAAGTGTTCTCGTCTGTATTTCATACAGCGGGTTCAGGGCTAACCCATGAACTCCACACAACAAGCAGCAGACACGCCGGCTTGTTCAAAAGATTTAAGTGAAGGTTAGTAAATATGATAGATAACACGTCCACGTCTTCAAATAGAACTCCAACAAGTGAGCTTCATCTCATGTCAAGTGAACTTTTTCAGCTGTCAGAGCTGGACGCGGCATTTTAAAGCAACGAGAGCTGTTTAATTTAGCTTAACTCGCTTTGCCAGACCAGCCTGCGCTTCGTTATCCTTCTTCTAAAAACCACTCTGGATTGTTTGTATTTCTTTAAATCAGTCAGTCTCATTGGGCAGAACGGCGCCAAGGATCCGGTGATGCTGTCCCTTCAGAACAGCGGCAGGTGGATGTGTTTAGTTGGGAGGAAAGCGACTACGGTGCTGCCGTTAGGATCAATCAGAGGACAGATAACACGAGCAGAGCGGCTTCAGTTCAGTCTCACACAACCTGAAGTCTTCCACTGGAGGTTGTTGTTGTTGTTGTTGTTGTTGTTGGTGGTGGTGGTGGTGGTGGTGGTGGTGGTGGTGGTGTCATCTCGTAGTCACGGGGATTTTGAGAACAGTAACAAGAAAGGGGAAGAACAAACTGTAAGAAGTGCTGACAGGCTTTTACCCCAAGTCTACATGTAGTCAGTCAGACTAAACCTGCTCTGTCTTCTGATTCTGAGCTAACTCACACCTCTACATGCAAACCCAGTGTTGACTCTGTGACATCAACCTGTGACTGCAAGCTGCTAAAACTCAGGTGTTCACAGGTGTGCAGATCAGTTGTTCTAACGAGGACCTGAAAGTAGGCTGTTAAACTGTGCATTAAAGTACAGCTCGCTTTTATCTCTGCGAGGATTTAACCTTTTATAAGCATCAGTTTGACACGTAGAGGCGACAGACGTGAACGTGTAAAGAGCTGCTCTCGATGAAGAGCTCCTGGTTGGATATGCATGAGCACGCTGTGGCACATTAATTACCTCCAGCTCGTTTTGCATCATCTGCTGCCTCACATGTTTCTAAATAATCTCATTTCTGGAAAGTTTTATCGTCTATTGTTCATCACTTCCTGGTGTTGTACATGTTTGCGGCGGTACCGTTTCAGTGCCGATATATTCAGGCAGGTATCAAAGTCATGATTTTGGTTTGGTATCGACACCGGTCAGGTCTCCCACTCACACTCATCCAGCTCAGTGCCTGAGCCGTGGTCCTGCCACCTCGCTGCCTTGGCACCTTTTATATGTCTGTTTGTTCACCTGGATGAGCACCGACTTCTGCCTCAGTGTGAGAGAGAACCTTAAAAAAACATTTGCTCTCAGCAAACCAGAGGGCAACCCAAGGTTACCACCTTGTGAAAGTTTTTATTAAAAAAAAAAAGCCCCCCTCAAAAACATGTTTGCAGTGTCCCTGTGACAGCAGACAAATCCAGCCATTCAGTGAACATGAGTCACCCCTGGATCTGCTGGTTGAGACGGCTGATCAGCTCCTCTGGCAGCAGTTCAACATAACACCTCGTGTTACAAAACACCTGGAGCATCGCCCTCTTGCCAAGCGCTGGTACTGAGAACCGGGGAGCAGGATCAACAATAAATGAATGATGAGATTAAGAACACGATTGGGATCAAGAGCAAGCTTGTGATTCCATCTGCATCTTCCAGTTTCGGTACCGCCGCGTGCTGTTTAAGCGGGTCTGGTTCAGGTTTCCAGGAAAGATTGTTTAACCATCCCACAGGCTTCTCCAACAGCCCACAGGCTGTTCTGAGCAGGGAAACACAGCAGATTAACACGCTGCATATGACGGCGACAGAAAACTAATGCTGGTAACAATAGCAGCAGTTCCTGGAGCAGCCGGTGCCATCGGCATATTTTCACTTATCTGCGAGGTGGATGTTTAATCTGGCAGGTGGATGGGAACCTGTTAATTGGCGGGACTTGCTTTGGCTCGCTGATAATTGGCGAATAAACAGCAGTAAACTTGGGCTGCGGCTCAAGTTGTGTTGGAGACACAACGGAGACGATTCTGCTGCCTTCGGTTTAGAAGAAGCTCATCTGAAGGCGTTGCTGAGCAGCGTGGTGGGGCTGTGGAGTGTTAGCATTAGACGAGTTATCCACGACCAGTCAGGGACGTTTTATTCATAAATCACAAATGAAAAGTTGCCTCATGTACAGAAATACATATAAACATTTACATGATGTTCTTGATGTCAGGGTTTCTTTCAGAACTTTCCACTGAACACCAGTTGTACCGTTTTGCACACCGCTCTGGATGCACTTGGTTTACCTTCAGGTGGCCGGTTGGTCGTCTGATGCAGCACTCCTCCTATAAAACCTGGATGTGTTTTGACTTTTGATTCATCCTGTGCAGTGTGTAGTTTGTGGACCTGCACCGTGTTATATCGACTAAGCTGCTCAGTGCCACGATTGGACCTGTTATCTCATTAATATGTCGCCCAGTCCGGTGCTGATGTCACCGTCGATGTATGTCCAGCGGTTGCCATGAGTTTTAATGAGCAGCCAAAGGACTCAGGAGATGCTCTATCGCCTCACTTAGCATCGACTGAAGGCTTTTTTATGCTCATGTGTGTGACGATCACCAAGTAGCCCAGTCATGCATGTCGACCTCTCCTGAGCCAGATGCTGCTCTGAGGTCATAAACCAGCCATTATGTAGTAAAAACAGGAGTTATCCTCTCAGCATCACAAGCGTCACAACAGAACCACCGACCTGCTGCAGAATGGTGCAGCTCTTCTACCAAAGCATCACAATGTCCCGTTTGCTCGTATTGTTTGTTTTTTTGTGAAGAACCGGGCCAGACGGTGACGGTTTGCAGGATTATCAGCGGCCGTATTTAGTCCACAGGTTGCCCAGCAGAGCCACGTGTGATGGCAGCTACACCTTCATGTAATCAGACCCGCTTGTACGCTATTCACCCCGCAGGGAAAACATGACCTGAATGCCCAGAGAGACGGACACAAACACACACCGACCCATTCAGACGGACCGGGCTGATGCATGCGCTTAACACACTTAGCAGGGCCTCCCCCAATTATCTGTGGCACACAAATAGATGTGTGGAAATAGCAGGGCTTAGTTGTGTATTTTGGCTGCAGGGAAGGTGGCCAGATTCTGTTAGATTAGATGACAGGAAAGAGACGGAGGGAAGGGATTAGACCTGATG